TTTTAATAACTTCAGAGTTGTAATGATTATTGAGCATTCTTTAGCTTTCTACTTTCGTCTCTGAGTTGTTTTTAATTGTAGTTCTGGGGATTAAATTCAGAGCCTCATGCATTTAAGGCAAGTGCTGAACCAGTGAGCTATGAGCCCAGACCTGGGTTTTGCTTTGTTTTTAAAGTAAATCACATCTGGGTAATATAAAGTGGGTATTATGAATAAATGTCTAGAATACATGTCAATAAAACAGATAATTTGTATAATGTGTATAGAAGTAAATGAATACATACTCATACTATAAGTATTTCTAAATGATAACCTCAAAATGATCTAATATTTAGAATCAGTTTATATACTAAAATGAATCAAAATTCATCAACCTAGTCCTCTCATTGATAACTGAAGTACTATAGTAACCTATGAGTCATTTTTCTAACATACAAAATATCTAAAGATTAATTTTGAGTTCATGATCACCTAAACCTTCAAGAAGAAATTGGGGATGAGATCTTTAATTTGTTATGGAATGGGTAAAGATCTGTAGGTTAAGTATTTGAAATGAGTGAAGGGCAAAAATAATCATATCAAACTATTGAAGTACTTGAATTAAAAGGGGTAAATATCTAAATGATATTTAATATATGAAGCACAATTTTCCCCCATTAAGATAAGAAAAAAGGAGGTTCTACTTACTAGAGTACAAATATAGTTTGGAAAATTAATTCGTGGATAGGTGATTTTCTGTATCTCAACTGTAATAGAATAGTCCTAAATACATAACTGGAGTAGAGAACAATGGTGCTTTGTTGTGTGGCCAGATGAAGCATGTTTCCTGCTGGCGTGGGACTGTCTTACATAGCTTCAGCAAAGATTTTTCTTTTCATGTCTTAACATAGCAAAAAAGAGCCTTATAAAAGATGAAGTATGTGTACTTTTGTCTGATAGAGCTACAGACAAGTCTCCATTATTCACATCAACCTACAGAACAATCCACTTAGGATGGTCCTTGTCATATGTATGAAGATGTAAAAATGAGACAGCAGAGCAGAGAGGCCCAGACCTACAGACCACACAAGACTGCTACCAAGGTTTATCTTCTGTTAGACTGGGACAAGACAGGATGCATAAAAAAGTGAAATATGAGAGCTCTTTGGCTATTTACTCTCTTAATGTCAGAATGACATCAAGTGACAATTATCTATATTATCTTGTGTCAGTGTACTGTTAGTCTCTGTTGCCACCCTCTTTTCAGTGATCATGAAGTCATACAGCTGCTCCTGATCAGCTTGAAATTATCCCAACGATTGTATTTTTAAAATAACTTTCTACAAACTATCATTATCACTTGTTTTTGTTTCCAATTTCCCTCATTCAGAAAGATAAATTATAGGAATGTTTGTCTCTGATCTATTTAACTACTGATAAACTATGTACAGATATAGTTCAATTTTGTCTGTGGTGAGGGCTCAAACTTTTTACTCTCTTCCTTTAACTATAGGGATTGAACCCAGGGTCTTTGTGCATGCTAGGTAAGTGCTCTACCACTGTGCTACATCCCTGGCCCTTTATAAATCAGAATATAAAATTATAATTACAACCATGTAAAAATGCAGATATACACAGTGCTCAGTGTTCCATGCACCAGCTGGAATTTCCTTGCCTGACTACTCCCCCAAACCTCCCTTTTAATTACTGTGCCTATTGTATCCCAACACAGACTTACTGGAGCACTTACTAAAGACACCCAACACTTATCTCTGCCAGCAAGATTTGCTGAATCTCCTCTTCAAAAGTGAGCTGGCCTGGCAATCTAAGATAGCACTGGTGTTCTCCTGCTGAACGTAACAATTTCAATGGACACCCACATTAGGCAAGGCCACTGTGACCTTATCTGAACACAGACAAAAACAACATTGTTCAAACTAAAGAATAACCAAATACCACTCTTTTTTAGCTAGCATGGCTGCTTTTTCACCAATTCTGCTTTTAGCTCACCATTGTTCTCTAGATAAGAATAATTAAGATTCCCAATACAGAATGGCTTCCCCGTTTTGACTTTATGCATTGTCTTGGTGTTATGTTCCATCAAAGGATGGAGGTGGTGAATAGATGGAGGTGAGGGATACTGTTAAAAATGAATAACCACAGTGCAGCCTCCCACAAGGAGCTCTCTGTACCAGAGAGCTGAAGGAAGAACTGCTGTTCAGGAAGCGGTGTGATGAGGCAGAAAATTCATGCTAGTTGTTACTTGCTGTGTTTAGCAAGTATCACAAAACAGAGATGAGCTCAGAAAATTGCCACCTCCAAGCAGAATTGAAAGGGCTTAGAGAAAGTCCAGAAATTCCAGGGCTTTTATAGGTCTCAAAAAGAATCCCTCTGGCCTGCAAACAGTAGGAAGGAAACCTGATTGGAAAATTAAAGCTATGGTGAGACTCTCAGTTAAACAAAGTGATTCATCCCTACAGCTAAGATTAGATTAAGGTTTTTTCCTTCTCTAAATTAATTTTTGCCTCTTGAACAATGAGTCCATAAAAATATTATAAGACCCATAAAACATCATCGAAATATTAGTTAAGACCAACTCAGTTGTTACCACCTTTACTCTTTGTATCAGAATTCTACCTCTTTTTTTTATCTCTCATGTCAGAATTAGTAACTTGCAGTCCTTCAGCATGTAACAACCATTCTCCAGTTTTCCATATTTCCTCTTCTTCATTATAAATCCCTTGAATACAGATAGTCTAGGCATGTATCCCATAGGTAGCCCAGGATATGCCTTGCACATAGTATAAGTATGGTGTTTGTCAAGCCTTCTTCTATCAAATGCATACTACTCAATAGGGCATTGATACATCCCACGGTCTTTGATCTTAAGTGCTTCTAGTCCAGCGTTAAAGAGACACAGCCACAAATCACTTTCTAATTTCTCCCATCAACCTGTGAGTAAATCTATTCTCACTGAACAGCTTTGGCTACTAGAAGTGTAACTTTGTGTTGTAGAGCTGGCTTTCTGAGAGTATTGGGTCAAAGCTGATCAGTGAGAAAAACCATAGCAAGACTGGACAGAACACAGCCTGTGGTTAATCTTTTTCTGCAGTACTAAAGTTTGAATCCAGGGCCTCATACTTGTCAAGCAAGTGGTCTACCACTTGAGCCAAGCCCCCAACCCTGTGGCTAGTTTTTGAATGAAGAATTAGTCAACAGCACACTTGGAGTGAGGCATTGAGAGCACAAGAACTAGAACTAAGTACAGATTTATGACTGACTCTGAGGGCATGGTACCCAAACAACTTTTGGCATCATCAGTCAAATGGTACCAACTAGTAACCAAGTGCATTTAGCCTGGCACTGAGCAATATTGCATAGGTGACAAGAGGCAAAAACAGAAATCACAGGCCCATCTTAGTCCAGCAGCACAAGCTGGTAAACCCAGAACTAGGATGCTGAAATGCACACCATTACCAAGTGTCTCTCACTACAGGACATGTTTCCCCTTACGTTTTCTTCTCTAACCACTTCTTCCACTTCTAGTTGGCCTTAATCTCTACTCTTTTCCCCATGTCTCATTTGGGGCTTTTTTTTCTTTCTTTCTTTCTTTCAATCTCTGGATCTGAGTACATCTGTGCTCATGGATCTTTGGCCTAACGACTTCCATGATGGTACTGCATTGTGCCAACTCTGATTTTCCTGGAGACTGCCTCATGAATTTAAGAGAAAACTTTACATGAACTGTTTATTTTCCCAATTCTGGGTGTAACTAGTTTGAAGTAAGGAAGGATTATCACTGAGCATTGTTAAGTGGAAATCAGAATTGATTTTTTTTAAAAAAAGGTATAGCCTGAGAAAAGTGGAAAAGCACATCATTCTGTGCAGAAGAGATCAGCTCATCTTTTTCTTAAGAAACAGTGTTGCTTCTACTAAATAAACATATACTCAATAAATGTTTAATTTTTCTCAAACAGGAAATGGAAATGTTACAGAATAGAGAAGCTAATTTCATGAAAGGGTAAAGAAAAGGGAAACAACTGTCACAAGTGCATTGGGAAACAAAAAAATCAGATGCTGTGCAAGTGATGGAGGAGGGTGATAAAGAATAAATATTAAAGATTGGAAAAGGGTAGCCAGGTTTGGATAAGAAAAGCATAGGGTTTGAAATCAAATGCCTGGGTTTAAATTGTTACCTGTAGCCAAGTAGTCTCAAACAATTAAGGATATGAGATGACACTAGAATTTCCATGTAATTTATAGAGGATTAAGTGACAAAAGTACACTGCTTAGAATATAAAACAGCTTTCAATTGGGACCTTTTATACTTAAGGATAAAATAGCCCCTAACAGAACTGCTAGCCCACAAATGTTTACACATTTCAGAGAAGAGCAAACAACTGTAAACAAGAAAAAAGAGCAGTTTCTCAGACTAGAAAGTTACAGGACTCACACACAGGGCCACAAACAGTGAACCTTTTACTAGATATTAATGCTGAAAAACCACAGCTTAACAGCAATCTTCATTTTGCCACTGGGTGGCAATGATACAGCTGAATTTCACTAAAAAGGTTAATTTTTAAGTCAGTAAATCCAGACAAAAGTTAAAGAAGCCGTTTAGAATTTTCATTAGAAAAATTATCTTGTGTACAATTTAATTATCTAATATGTATGTTAATTTCTGGTGATTTTTCCTACTAAGCATGGAGACAATTCATACAATGAACAAATTTTTAAACACTTTTATCACAAATTTTGAAAAATCTAGACACACACACACACACACACACACACACATACATACATACCATGAAGTTAACAGAAACTATGGAAAGCTAAAAATCTTTTTGAAGTCTTAGAATTCTAAGAAAGGCACTATCAAATGCTAAGTGTTTCTATGAAAAATTAAACCTTTCAATAGCAATTTCACTTTCTAAGAAATGTTGGACCCAACATGATATAAGAAACATTTTGCTTTTAAATTATATTTAATATATCCAAAATATTATCAGTGTCTTGAATAAACAGTTTAAGAACATTTATCAAAAGTCCAACTTTCATTAAATTTTAGAACAATGATTCCCTTTCTAAAAGTGCCAAAACAATAATGTAATTTGCTAGTCTCTGACACTATCCACAGCATTTCTGCTTTCTCCATAAAACACTATAAACATGACTTATTTGAAATTTTAAATAGTCTTTTCTTTCATTTCTCCTTTATCAAGTAAAACAGCCAGATAGGACTAAATGTTTCAAGTTATAGACAAAATTTCCAACTACAATTTGATGAATAAATAATCCTATACTATTCAGCAATGATAAAATTAAAGACAAAATTAAAACAAACTTTATTCTCTTTATATAAATAAGCCTAAAGTTTCCCAAATTTATAATTCCATTTCTTATGAGTTAGCCTTTTATATATCAGCTAAGTCTGTCATTTACAATCACTTCTAATATATTCCATGTCCATAATTACCTCTCCTTAGCCCTCAAATGTAAAACTGAAGTATAATCGCTAATCACTTTTATACAATTCACAGATCACTACCCCCATCATCCCTGAACCTCATTTCTAAATTATGCATCATCCTGAAACCTATCAAGATACCTGTCAGCCTATACAGACACAAAGTAGACAACCACTGCAGATGGTTAGCAGGAGACAAGATCGCTGTAGCAGTCCTCAAAAGTCAGCAAAAGATTTCAGGACAATGCTCAATCTGTTCACTGTGGTTGCTAACTTTTGCTGGAAATTTTAGGGATAACTGATGGTTTTCAAAAGTGAACCATCATGTAATTACATCCATACAGAATCAGCTTCTGAGTATCTCTATAAATAAGGGGACAAGACACATGAAATATGTAATCCTCAAACCACTTCAGATACATTTTTGGATATGTATTTCACAAGACAGTGCCTGAGAATTCAGAGCACAAAGAAAATTAAGCCACGTTGTAAAGAGGTTAAGTGTCACAAATACCAGGGTGATGATAAAATTGAAATGCCATTATTGACTTGAGTGTGTCATCTTCTGTTTATTTCTGATGGTGGCTCGAAGTTTACGTATTACCAGTCTATCAGGTAGAATCATATCACCTTGTTGCTCTAGGTAATCTAATAAATTTTCAGTCCACTGGAGAGCAGCAACATGACTCACATGCTTCTCTGGAATCAGTTCTATTTCCTCCTCCTCGTTTTCACTGGATTCATCTGTCTGGCCTTGTGCTCTTCTGATGATCTCACTGTCAGTTAACACCTCATAGCCTGGCTCAGTACTGTCAACTTCCAGCCATTTTTCAAGGTTTTCGGCAGTCACATGTTCCAATCCTTTGGTGTGCTGTAAGATAGTGGCCACAGTAGCCACAGAAATACCTTCTTCATCAAAGTCCAATCCTTTCTCCTCCGTGATAGGGAGGATGTGCTTCCAAGCTCTGCTGATGGTGGCTGGCTTTACTAAGTTCCACGCCATTGCTATTTCATAAAGTGCGTCCAGCAGAGTTAGCTTCTTCCAGAATGACTTCAAGTCATTGCCTTCTTCCAGGTTGTTCTGGAGAAGACCTGCACGATAGTTTCTCTTCATTGCTGCTATGACTCCCTGATCCAGAGGCTGAATCAATGAAGCTACATTGGGTGGTAAATATTTAGCAAATATTTGGCCATCATCTGACCTCAGGACATTTTCATTTGGATGTGTTGGTGAGTTATCCAACAAGAGCACAGCCTTTTCCTGCAAGCCTTTGGATCTCAAGTACTCTCGAACCTGCGGCACAAAAATCCTATCAAACCACTGTCGGAAAATGGAAAGGTCCATCCACGCACCTTTCTGGCTGAAATAAGAGACTGGCAGGTTTAAGGTGTCCGTTGATTTGAAGGATCGAGGTTTCTTTGCTTTGCCCACAACACAAAGTTTAAGCTTGTGTAAACCTGTTGCATTGGTACAACACATGACAGTGACTCTTTCTTCAAATGGCTTGTGCCCAGGTACAGTGCATTTACTTTTGATTACTGAAGTCCTGGAAGGTAGGCACTTCCAAAAGAGTCCAGTCTCATCTGCGTTGTAGATTTGCTCAGGCTGCAAATTCTCTCGTTCAATAAAATCGCGAAAGTTGTTGCAAAAATCTTCCACAGCAGTCTCATCTCTGTTTAACCTTTCATTTCTAATGTTAATCTCTCTAATGCTGTGCCGCTGCTTGAAACGAGTTAACCAACCAGCAGAAGGGTTAAAGTCACCATCCATTCCCAAAGCATAAAAGAAGAATTCTGCCCTTTTCGCACAAATCGGCCCAGACACGGGATTCCCTTTGGCCCTCTGCTGGTTGAACCACTCCAGCATTGCTCTGTCCAGTTCCTCGTACATGGACGGCTTCATGGATTTCCTCTTGGCCAGGAGACTTGTGGAGTCTGAACTGCTTGCGTAAGTTATAATCTTTTCTTTGTTTTTTCTTATATCCCTAACTGTTGTTTCACCAATCCCATAAATCACTGCCAGTTGCTTGGAAGAGCCCCCATCCTCAAGTTTCTTGATTATATCGAGCTTGTCTTTAATAGTCAACACCACACGCTTCCGCTTCCCCGACATGGTGAACCCGAGACTGACCAATCCCCCACTCCCACCGCAGGGAGCCCCAAGCCGCTGCTTCTCTAGGGTTCAGTTAACAAAGTCCTACACGGTCACCTCACAACCTTGGCGCCACCTAGCGGGACTGACCCGCCCGCGGGGCCTGGGTGACAGGAAGGGGACAGAGGACCAAGTTCGGGGTGCAGGCCTGTGACTCAGACGGGCAGGGGAGGAGGCCCCGAGTCCCCGCCGACGACCTGGGTTACAGACATGCTCTAATACCTCCGTGGCCACGAAGACGACTGGGGGCCCACGACCGTGGCCGCCCGGATCTCGGGTGCAGGCCCCGCGCGGAACCTCGCCACGCCCCAAAGGTCCCGACCGCGCAGGAGCCGGGCTGGCCCCTTCCCCAGGGGAGCGGTCAGGTTCAAGTCCTCGCCGCAGCCTGGCCCACCCTACCTCCCCGCGGGGGGCTTAGTCTGGCCCGGCCTGTGGTCCCCGCAGCTAACAGAAGAGCTCTCCCACCTCAGGGGACCGCAAGGACCCCCACGGAGCTCCGGACCGCCGCTCCTCCCCCTGTGCTCGCTCCCGGAAGCTGCCCCGCCCGACGCCACGCCCCTTTGCCGGGAGGCAGCCCGCCTAGGGGCGGGACTTCCTCCTGAGTCCCGGAAGTGGGTGGGGCGTCGCTCGTCTGCCCCGGGCGTTGGCGCGGAGGCGGAGGTGCTTTGAAAGGTGAGAGCGGGAGGGCGGTGCTGGTCGGGATCCTGGCGGGAGAACTGGCTGTCGCTTGGCGGCAAATGGCTGCTTAGAGGGGCGGGGAGACCGCGCCTCCTGGCGGGCCCAGAGTGGAATTCCCGCGGGCGGGCGCTGCTTGAGAGGACGCAGCGCCACGCCTCGTCGTCAGCCTCCTCCTCGGCCCGGGCGCTGAGAGCGTCGCGCGCGTTATTTCCGCCGTGGGGAGGCGCGCGGGCCTGAGGCGGGAAAGCGCGGGCTTCTGCGGCCATTGCAGCTTCTCGGTTCTGATTCTGACGCGCGTCACGGCGGAGCGGGGTCCGAGGTCCTGTTTCCTAGCGACCGCGTTGGCGTCCTCCTCCCGCGGGTGGTGGACGCTGGCCGCGCGGGGTGCACGGCCGCCCGGAGCCAGGTTGGTAATGGTGACAGTGGCCCTGCGGATGTGGCCCTGCGCCTGTCCTCGGCCCCGCGGGGTCGCGCTGCAGGACGGGTTCTTACGAGGGCGGGGGCCGTGGTTTCCCGGGTCTCATTTCCATTCCTCCCCCCCCCCCCCCGCTGCCCTCTTTTCCAGCCAGTGGACGGACCGAAGTCCATCGCGCGGCCGTGTGAGGGGACTTGGCCTCTCTGAGTCCCTAGGGCTTTCATTTCCTAAGATTGTGAGCTCCTCGGGGAGCAGACTGCCTTTATGTTTTCCAGGCACGCCCCTGTCCGTCCCCCGCACCACCCCAGCACGGGCCGTGTTTTGATGGCTACTTGGTAACTAGTTCTTGGCTTGAGTCCTGTTTCCTTTGCAAACTTGCAAGTAAAAAGAAACATCAAGGGGAGCTACTGAGTGACTCCCTTCCGGCGGAATTTTAGATGGCAGCCTGGGTTTCCACCGACCTTCACATCTTCAGAATGTGCGCTGTGCCCCCCACTGCTTGCTTACACGGCACGTGGGCGATGTTAGTGCGCGGTCTTCCCTAGAGTGACTTCAGCCCTGGAAGAAAGGGTGTTTCTTGTAAGGAGCAGAGTCACTGAGAGAGGAGAGACACGAGGAGTGTGGCCTGTGGGTCCTCTGTGTATAAGCATCTTAGTTGACAGCAACTGAAACACGTGATGGCGTTGCTCATTCATGCTTGCAACCTGGGAGTCTGTGTTTTTTTCTTTGCCCAAAGGTAAGGCATCATTTCAGAAGCTTGATAAAATTCCCGTGTCAAGAAACTGAGTGTATATCCTCCATATATGGAAATTACATACATTTGCGTGGATTCTTTTTTGAGTGAATTCTAAAGACAAAGATGTCTTGCTCATCAACCTGGCTTTACTGTCTTATTTTTCTCCCCAGGTTCACTCACCTTTTCCCTCTGTCGTCATTCTTCCCTCCCCAGCCTAATATGATAAAAGATATTCAGAATTTACAAAAAGGAGTACACCATGTTTTAATTTCCCTTTCAATAACAGAGTTTTTTTTAACCTTATCCATACAAATGGCAATTTTGAAGTAAAAGAAACTCTGGCCATCTGGAAGTTGGCCAAATAAAAGAATTTATTTTATTTAAATGAAATTGCCTCCTCAAGCATTCGAATTGTGCAGTTTTCCAAAATAAATACTTTTCTCATAAACTGCCTTTCTCTGAAATTTTTACTTTTGGGCTCACTGGGGATTCCCTTAAATTTTGTGAGCAGTGTCATCAATCAGATGAAAGAGGGAAGTCTGCAAATTTTCATCTCTTGCACATTCTTTCTTGACCAATGGATAAATAATTTCCAGAAGTTTCTTACATAACCCATGCACACTAAAATTTAGTTACATAATTTTAAAAACCCATGTTTGTAAACTAAGGCCATTTTGATGGTTATTTTGTGAAACTAAAATTTAGCATAATGACAGATTACCATTTTAAAAACTTAATTTTCACTACTGTACAAATGTGATATTGGCAGCCGTCATTGTGTAGCACTGGGAATCAGGACACCTGGTTTCTAATCCCTGCTCCGTCTCTAACAAGCTCTTAGGTAAGTCATTTAACCTCTATGTCCTTGGCTGTGATTTTTATAAATGAACATAGATGTATCTTCCTTGGATGATCATCATCAAAATTTAATAATAAATTTGAATAATTATGAAAATACACTGAAAAGCTTTTTTAAATGTAGGCAATTTCTTTTGTAACTGAACTATGTGCAGTCATAGGTCTTTTTAGTAGTGTGGTATTCTTTTTTTTTTTTCTTGCGGTACTGGGGCTTGAACTCAGGGCCTTCACCTTGAGCCACTCCACCAGCCCAATTTTTTTGTGAAGGGTTTTTTGAGAAAGGGTCTTGTGAACTGTTTGCACAGGCTGGCTTTGAACTGCAATCCTCCTGATCTCTGCCTCCTGAGTAGCTAGGATTACAGGTGTGAGCCCCAGGCACCTGGCTAGTGAAGTATTCTTTCTGCCATTGTCCTAGGAATCATCTATTATATGATAATTGTTTAACAAGTTATACTTTGTAAGAGAGTTATCTGGTGTATGTGAATCTGCTATGAGTACTAATAAAATCATTTTTTACTTTAAAAATGCTTTTTTCTTACTGTCCATATTTGGTTTAGTGTATCTATTGAAACCATATCTGTAATTTGTTATCATAAATGTTTTTTCACTATTTCTCCCAATTCAGACAAGTTTACAAGAAATCCTTTTACAGTATAATTCCCATATGCATTATTGGGAATTATACATACATATACTTGTTTGAACTATATGACTTCAGGATATAAACTGTCTAATTTATCTAGTGTTTAAACAAAACTAGAGGAGAGACTAGGTGGACATATTTTAGTGCAGTATAGTATACACAAAACCATACTTTGAAGAGTAATATAGGAATTATTTTAAAAGGATAATTTTGACCATACATCTTTGTTGGTTTTGTTTATCTTTGTTGATTTTAATATAAGCCTTCTGTAAGATGCAACCAAAATAAAATTTCAAATAGACTGTTTGGTCTGCTGGCTAGAATTTATTAAGATTGCTATTATATTGCTGACAACATCTTGTAGTAGTGATTGTCATAAGGCTGTACTTCAGCCTACATTATAAACATCATTTCTGGTGTATAACATTGTAACTGCTGCGGGCACCAGAGTGTTTGTACAATCAAATGAGTGGTATCATCTCCCTCTCCCAAGTAATCGCCTGTACAGCTATAAACTTGATGCTCAAAAAAATTCTGGCTTTGCAGTTTGGGAGTCACCGTGAGAGTATGTCACACATGTTTTTGAATGTCTAGTTAATCTTCATCTTATAAAGTCTTCATTTTTGGAAGTTGCTAACAATAACCTTACAACTAAGACAAGTAAATATAATGTGTATTGAAGCCAGTCTTTGGAATAAAAATAACATTATTTTCATAATTTTATTTTTGTTTTTTTTGATACCATGGTTTTAAAAAATATTCTGTGCTGTGGTGGAAATATTGGAGTAATCAGCCTCATAGGTGATTTTTTTTAAAAGGGGATAGCACTCAGTTAAATATGTAAGCTCTTACAGGTGTATTATGAAGTCAGTTTCATTACATTGTGATAGTGCCTCTGTTCCTTAGCAACCACAGAAGTACATATGTATTACTGATTTTCTTACCTGTCACTGATTGTTCCTTTAACACATGCTTGTGATTGTTGTAATGGAATTCACCCTTTTTGAAAGCAGAAACTGACAGTTTTGTTTTTCTTCCTAATACCATGCTCTGCTTTGCCATGAAACTTTTTTGCTTTTTCTACTTGACTGCATTATTGGATTGTTAGTAAGTTTTCTGTCAGATTATACTGTATTTTTCACTTTGAATGTTTTAACCCCATTGGCACCTTACTCATGAATATAGAGGCTACAACTGTAGTGTGTAGTGGTTAGGTTATTTCTCCGGACTTACTGCTGTTTATTGTTAATTACTACTTTATAACTTTCTTCATGTAAGTTGATCTTTTATAATTCATGACATTTCTGTACTCAGAATCCTCCTTTACTTACAGGATGAATCATCCTGGTAATTTCATTGTGCTTTTCTATCCTTGTCTCCTTTTTTTGATCCTGAAGCTTTTTATTTTCCACACCTTTTTAGTCATACTTATTTTCTAAACATGACGTGTTCTTTATCCACAGAGTTTTGCCCTTAACCATTTTTAACTGCCTGAAGTTACTTTTCATTTCATGCTTTCCAAACATAACCAGTCCTTCAGGATTGTAGCTCCTCACATGTTCCTCATTGCTTGCCCTCCTATTATTCCTGCATCTTCACACTTCTTTAACAGGTATTTTTTTAATCACTCATTTGGTACTGAATGAACACCTTTAATCTTTCTTAATTACATGTTTGTATGTTTTAGTTTTAAGCATCATAATAATTTTCAGAAGGACATAGGACCGTGATTTTTCTTTGTATCCCTTTTTGCACAACACACAGCATAATTCAGAACAGATACTCATTTAATTATTTCCTAGATGTTCAGTAAATTATTTGTAGAGTAACTGTTCTGCCATGTTTACCCAGATATGTAATGTGATTTTGCCTTTGTGGGCCATTTAATAAAGTCAAATAAATATGTGCCATATATGCATTCCTTACTGTAATGTGGTTATCATTGTTATATTCCTGATAACTTTATTTTGTAGAAGCTTAAGAGGAAATGGTACATGTTAGAAGACGTGAAACAAGGAAAAATTCTAAAACTCAAGTGCTTGAGCAAAAATCTCGAGTTGATTGGCGGCGGACTAAAAGAAATAGTATCTCACAATTATTTGATAGTGATGAAGAGCTTGATAGTGATGAGCTAGAAAGTGATGAAAATCTTGATAGTGATGAAAATGCTGATAATGATGAAGAGCTTGATAGTAATGAGAGGCTTGATAATAAAACTCCAGGAAATGAAGCAGAACTTAAGTTAATCAGAGTTGAAAGTGAAGGAAGTAGCAGCAAGCCTTTAGTCAATACTGGCAACAGTCCAGCCTGTGAAGAAGAAATAAGCGGAGCCAAATGCACAGACTTTCCAGACCAGGAGAGGTATCCAAGTCAAGAGGAGGAGGATGTCACCATATGCACTGGACCAGTCATGGAGGAGGATGTAGAAGAAGAACACATCAAGCGAGGGAAAAGAAAAAGGGTAGCCTCAGTGATGTATGACAGTGACGAGAGTGACGACAGTGACGTCCTGGTTAGAAAAATAGGTATTAAACGTCCACGCAGAGTGGTTGAAGATGAGTGTTCTTCAGCAGAAGCGGAGCAAGAAAACCCTGAGAAATCCTTAGCCACTCGGAAGCGAGAACAGCTCCAGAAGCTCAAGGAGCTCTCGAAACAGAGATCTCGCCAGAGACGCAGTAGTGGTAGAGATACTGAGGTGTGTTGTATTTTGTTGGTGGCCTTGTTTTAAATTTTTACTTAAAAGTATTTCATTTTTACAAGGGTCAAAGTACTAATGAGTCTGTTCTTTTTCAATAAGTCTAGAATTTATTTTTTAACCAAGTATCCCTGAACATGTTTGATTGCACTGTTATATCTCTAATAATGATGTTTTTAGTAACATTATTTTATCATGAGCCTTAGTCTATCACTTTTTTAAGATTGAAAGACTTTTTTTGATGCTCTTTTGTGTTTAGAACTATTTCTATTACTGTCTTTTTCATGTCACTTAACTAAGGTATAGTCTTTCTAATTTCAAAAGCTCATATAACACGACAAAATTATTTTTTAACTTGAAAATATGAATTTAATTCTGTGGGTCTTTTTTTTTTGCTTTCAGATTTAATCTTTTAATTTTATATCCATGGTAGGCATTTTAAAAGCACAGTTTGCTTAAGCACTTATTTTCATCTAATTAGGACTCTGAAAAGGAATCCTGCCCAGGCTGTGATGAAGAGGAAGAGGACGAGGATTATGAATATGATGAAGATGGAGATGATTATATTATTGATGACTTTGTAGTGAAAGATGAGGAGGGCGATGAAGAAAATAAAAATCAACAAGGAAAAAAGCTGACTACATCACAACTGAAATTAGTAAAACAGAATTCCCTTTGTAAGTTAAATAACGACGATACTTTATGACTTGTTTAAACCATTAGATCAGGCATTGAGTCAGCCTTTTAATACCATGTTCTGATCATTGCATGGTTTCATTTTCAGATATCTTAAGTTTGTCACCCTAATAGTTTCTTCCAGTGCTCTCAGAAACACTTTCTCTCTTGAAAATTATTATTGACCCCAGCAAGCCTTTATTTCCAGTGGGCTGTCTTTTATCAATACTTACCACCACTGTGGAAATACAATTTAAAACATATTTGTTAATTTGTTTCTTTAAAATAACAATTAGCTCATTATAGTAATAGAAATAACATTTCATGAAAAATAGCTATATTTTCTAAAAAAAATTAAAATGGCATTGTTTTATATTCTTTGAAGTATCTGTAATACTAAGCTTAAGAAAGAAACTGGATTCTTATGCCTGATTTGCTTTAGTTTATATTGATAGTCATTCTGTCAAAGTGTGTGAAAATAGTTTGTGTCACGCAGATAAGTAACAGGAAAGGAAAGGAGCAATTTTAAGGTACTTTAGTTGTGGGGTTTTTTTTTTAATTTTTAGTGGGTTTCCTTGCATTATTTTCATACATATATATAAGGTACTTTGATACATTCATCCTCCATCACTGTTAGCATTTTCCAAAATAATTGTGGATATTGTCATATAGCTAGGTAGCTGGAAAGGAGAGGACTATCTTAACAGTATTTTCAAAATAATTGCAGATACGCTAATTTGAAACTGTACCAAAATTCAAGAAATGATACTTTCCTAAAGGTATTTAGCATATGGAATCTGAAAGCATACAAATGAATGTTCACTGTGCACATTGCAGTCCATTGGTCTGTCTTGCTGGTTGGGTGGTGCTCTTGCCTGTGCACAATTTTGTAACAGTTATTAGTCATTTGGAAAACACTGGTTTTGTGGGTTTTGTAGATCTTCCAAATCTTGACACATTTCACTATGATAATTTTTAAAACTTCACATTCATTAATATCACCAATATCATTAGAATATTCCTATGGTATTGGGAAGCTGTCATTCACAATAGCACAAGTTTCTCAAAATTCTGAGTTTTACTTAGTTGGTTTTCCTAATGGCAGCAAACTGAATTGTTCTTGAAGTGACAGGCTCGCCACTTTTTTGCCTGACAGATCACCACATCTGAAATAACAATAGTATTCATGACAAATGAGGCTTTGCCCCAGGTCAAACAGTTGCAATTTTTACTACTTCATCAAGGACATTCTTAAGTGGAAGTGTCTTTTTTAGTATGCATGTCGAGCAGTGATGACTACAATAATTACTAGCAGTTTGGTGTGACTGCCATGGCACTTGTTAAGGGGCCAGCTGCTCTGTCCATTGTGTGTTTGCACCATCAGTGAAAATGTCAGAAAAACAGTAGCTTACTGTTACTGCTTGGACAGCACAGATCTCTTTAAATGGGCGTGGGGATTCAGGGGGCATCTAGAGAGCACACATTGAGAACCACTGGTTTTATTAAGCCTTTTAAAGCTTATTTAGAATCTTTTATGTTTTTATGAAGTTAATGAAAATAAAAATATAGGGCCTGAAAATTTAGGATACATTTAGATATATATGATTCTGATCCGTGTAAATTCAGAGATTGTTTTGACCATGTTTTACAATTGTGGAAGAAATAGACTGGTGGATAGTTTTTTTTTAATTTTTCATTTCAAGAATGTATTCTTTCTAAAAAGGCAGTTTATGCTAAAATTAACATAGCTCTCACACCTTACCATAAAACAGTAGATTGAGGTACAAATCAGATTTCAAGAAACTTGGCAGTTTTAAAGATGCCAAAAGTAGGCATAGATCTAAACTGTAAATTAATAACTTTTATCCTTGTATCAATAGGCACTGGTTCACCTACCACTGGCACTTGAGTCACAAGGGTACTAAATGAGGGGTATTGTCGTCCTAACTGTGTGACTACAATGTGATAAAACACTTGCCCAGAGATATTTGCTCAAATCCACTCTTGCTAATTAATGGAACTAAGAGTCCAGGGCATGTGAACTGCTTCAAACTCCTTCTTTACCCTACACCTCTATGCTTCCCTTTTTAAATGGCAGTTTGGATATTTACAGAAATAATTAAATGGCAACTACAAAGCTGTTACATACTTCCTCACAGGTGCATTTTCCCTGATTATTAACTTTTGAATTAGTTTGATACCTTTGTTACAACTGATAAGCCAATACTAACTGTAGTTCACAGTTCCCATTAGGGCCCTCTCTTTGTCTTGTGCCTTCCGTGGATTTTAACAAATATACAATGACATGTACCCACCATTACAGTATCATAAAGTTTCACTGTCCTTTATTCATCTTTCCTTCCTTCCCATGGGCCCCTGGAAACACTGCTTTTTTTTTCTCCATAGATTACCTTTACCAGGATGTCGCATATGTGGGATCTCACAGCATGTGACTTTTCAGATTGGCTTCCTTTACTTAACAATATGCATTTGAAATTTCTTGCATGTCTCAACATGAAATGATTGCTCATTTCTTTTTATCACTGAATAATATTCCATTGTTTGGATTTACCACGGTTTATTTATACATTCACCTGTTGAAAGACTTCTTGATTGCTTCCATGTTTTAGCAATTATGAATAAAACTGCATAAACATCTGTGTACAGGTTTTTTCTGTGGACATAAGGTTTCAATATATTTGGATGAATACAAGTAGCTCAAGGCTTGTTTTATTACTTATCATCTCTACCTCACGGAAAAATATTCTCTCACTTTTCAGAATATACTTTGTCTTGGGTGTTCTTAATTACAATTTCTGCTTCTTTATTTTCAGTGGTTTTATTCTTACAAGCTATCTTTCCCAAACTTATAACCATGTTCATGCCTTTCCTTTCTTGACATTCCACTATTCTAAATCTTACATGTTTTGTTCCTGTTTCTCAGTTAAAATACTTTAACTGAGTGCTTTATTCAGGTTCTTGCATCCACCAGTTCAGTGAAATTACTCTTGCCTGGGTTATTGATGACCTGTACTTACCTTTATACTAATCTGGTATTACTGTGTCCTTTGCTACCATTGGCCACTTTTGTTTTCAGGATGCTCTTCTTTAGCTTCTGTGGTACCACTCCCCTTTTAATTCTGTATTCCTCTCGTCCATTTGCCAAGTAATTTTGGTGTTTCCAAGGATTCCATCCTCAAATAACTTTCTTTTTGCTTGTACTAGGGATAGACTCTTTCCCATTGTTCAGCCCAATGTATAGGCAAAATTTCCCAAACTTGTAATTATAAACAAGTTTCTCCTAAGCATAAGGCCCAAACTTTTCTCATCTTACTGAGCATGTTTCTCAGAAAGTCTTTCAGACATCACAGAATCACTACATACAAAACTGAACAATTAAGAGGAATTGTGAAGGAGTTTGGAGTGGTAAAATAACTGCCATAGTAGTGGTCACATAATTTCATACATTGGTCAGAACAGTACAACAAAACCAGAATTTTTTTGATACATAAAAGAGTAAAGCCCAATAAAATAAGCCATGTGAATGGCCCATTTTCAAAAATAAATAATTTAAAAGTATTAATGAAAATGGCAAACCAACTTCCCTCCTGTTTGTATTCCATTACCCATTAGAGTTCGTGACGCATTATAGGAACTGAAGATTCTTGAATTCTATTGTTCAATACTCAGATAGATTTTGGACATAGCTGAATTTTTAAACATAGAGGAAAAGCATGGATGATTTTTGATTTAGATACTTTTCATATTAACCAATTTTATGCCATAAGTGAAGTGGATACAATTTAATATGCAAGCAATTTTTTGATTTGCTGAGAGATTATGTTTCAAGAGTTGCTCTAAGTTAATTCTTATGAAATGAAAATATTTCCCATGAAAACAGTAGCCTACATGATGAATAATGAATGTCATTCTGTTACAATCAGACTAATATTTCCAGATTCGTTCTCCTGCCAACTTTTGTAAGAACTCACATTCAGCATGAGATCAGAATTTGGGAGAAGCATCCCCTAACTCCAATTTCAGTATACAGTTGAATCAGTACATTGTATTCAGTTATAATCAGTGGTCATTGCAGTTTTGGCTTTTGAAGGGAGCATTTGTGCCTGAGAAAAGACATTTTGTCATTTCCTCTTTACCTGCCATTTGACTCCGTGGGATTAATTTATGTCACCTTAAAGCAGGGTAGTGGCCTTCTTGGTACATGGTTGAAGCAGTTAAAGACATGCGTAGTCTTTTTTCCCTTCTTGTTAATCCTTTCTAGTGTCTCTTCATATTTTGGGACTGAAACTCCTACAAAAGATACAGTAGAAGGCAGGACATTACATACCAGATCTCTGTCGTTCTCATGCTAAAACTATTACAGTGATGGGACAAATATTCTCACTCACTGACATTAAAGATTACATGTCTAGTACCCTACCATACGTGCTGCGTGAAAGAACCAAGTAGTATAGGTGAGAAGAGTACATTTCAGTCTACAGGTGCCTCCCTAGAGACTTTGCAGTCTGGATGAATCTCAATTCAGTGCCCTCTTAGCAATTGAAGGAATTCTATCGACATAATAAAGAGTAGGCCTAAGAGCACTATCACAGCCATTTACATTAAATATTTATAGAACTTTACTCCTGTTCTAGGATGAGTGAAGAGTGCCAGTGAAATTGTTGTGGCATATGGTAAAAGTAGACTGAGGAAGAAGTTCCTGAGAAAAGTGTCTCACTGATGGGGACAGAGGAGACTACGTAAAGTGTGTGCCATGCGATCTGGGAAAAAGCGCAGAAGGCCGTAAGGACAAACTAGAAGTAACAGCTAGCTAAGAGAAGGAGGAACTGCCAGAAAATTAAAAATAGCAAGTCAGTCTATATTGGAAGCAGTAGAGAGCAGAATTAATAGTACAGAAAACCTCATCATGATATGTAGGATAAATCTGAGAAGTTGTAGTATAGAGAAAAAACAGTTCTGAGGAATAAGATAAAGTATAAAGGACTAGAAATACCCTATTTCATAAGATTCCTACAGTATGATATAAAGAACAAATGAAAATCTAAGGGAAGAAAAGTTTACAACATATATAAAGATATGAATGTACTAAAAGTTATACCATGGTTTTACATAGGAAAGTGTTCAACTGTAGATGTTTTTCAACTTAGGATGAGTTTATTGGGACATAACCCCATCATAAATTGAGGTGTATCGGTATTCAAATACTGTTATATTGACCATAACAATATATATTTATATCTGTGTGTCTACATACACACACAAACATAAACTATAAGTTTCTAACTTGATTAACAAAGGATGCAGAAGAGGAGGATATGAATATTTTGAGAATGTAATGTTGCATGGTTTCTCATCTTTTCTCACATTCTTTTTTCCCTATGTGGATGGTACACAGAATGTATAGACAAGTCAGTTTCTTATTCTGCCTCTGCCTCTTTTCTGAGCCTACACCTCCATTCCAGAAGGAAGTACATAAATAGATTAATAGTCTATGTACTTGTAGCCAAGGAAATATTTATAAACTCTCGTGTTCTTGAAATAAACTTAGCACTGTCAAAACCAGGGTTAGGGGAAAGAGCAGAGACAAGGGCCAGGCATCCCTTAGCAATTTCATCAGGCTCAGGACACTCAGCTCCCACAAATACCTACCTACGAGATCTTAGAAAAATGACCAAATTCACACTAAATATATAAAACCCAATGGTTTTCTTGTATAGTAGCAATAAATGCTTAGAAGATATAATCAGGGAAAATTCCATGTATGCTGCCAACCAAAATAAACTTCCTAAGCCTAATCTTAAGAAAAACCTGGCTCTATAGATACAAAAATAAACTTTGCTGTGAAATAGAAGACATGAATGAATGCAGAAGACAAGTATAGTTCTGAAAGGTATATACATAGTACAAGGAAGTGTTTCCTCTGAAATTAATTTTTGGTTCAACTTTGCAAAACAGTCCTAAAGTTCACTTGGAAGAATAAGCATGAGCATAAATACTGAAAATAGAGTAAATCATAAACTTGCAGCACTGGCATGAGAATGACAGCAGGTGACTAGGAAGGGTACATGGCCCTGAAACAAAGTCTGTTTGTGAAATTAGTGTGTGATAAGGGATGTGTGGAAACCAATAGAAGATGATTATACTATCAAATGGGACCTTAGAAAATCAGATTGTGCTGTGCACAACAAATGCTGTGAGTTTTTCCTTTACTGTTTCCTAGTTTTTTAAAACGATCATGCTGGGGCTGGGGCCCAGTGGTAGAGTACATGATGAGTAGGCAGGAGGCCCTGGAGTCAATCCCCAGCACCACCAAAAGAAAAAACCAACAAAATGATCATGGGGAAGGTTTTAAATTCCATTCCTATGATACTCTACAGACATTCACAGAATGTAGGAATCAGAGAACTGTAACAGTCCTGGAAGAGCTCTGAGCTCAAAGCCTGGTTCAGCTTCTTGTTATGTGGCATTAGGTAAGTTATTTTGTTGATAAGGGTGTCATTTTTCTTACATTTAAGATGAGAAATTTTAACTTTATTTTTCCAGTTTTCCATCCAAGTCTACTGTGTTTTGGAATTGAATTCCAAATCTAAATACAGTGCCTAACATTCCTGGCCAGGGGAGAGGAACATGGCATCTGGAGGCAGACTGCCTAGCCAGCCCTAGTCCACTCTCTATTTCAGTTTCCTCAACTAAAAGTAAACCAATGGTAATGACTGCTCATTGGCTTGAGAGAAATAAAGCAATTTTATGTAAGGGTTTACAATGATGTCTGCTCAATAATGTTATTAAGTGTTTTCAGTTTGAGCTTCCAGGAGCATAATCCCACCACCATCCCCTTCTGCTCAAACATAATGAAGTAGGGGCCTTCTCTTGACCTTTCATTTTAAGATTCTGACTCACAGTGATAGATGAGGGACTCAGTGTTTATGAAGAAGCTCCCCAGTGATTCTGATCTCTGTCCTTTGCTATTCCAATCCTAAAGAAGTGTTGTCAGGGTCTTCAAAATAGAACAGTAGCTCCTAAAACTCCATAGCAGACAAATAATACTGGGTATTAACATGTTCATGACTGATAAATTCAGGGTAAAAATTCTGTTGCATTTTGTTTGATAAACTTGGGTGCACAGGGATGAATTTGGCCTTTTAACATTGTGTTTAATATTCTCAGAACAGCTTTTCCTTAATATAGTTTGGGAAGTTCTAGATAGAGTTTAGATGAATTTTAACACAAAATTATGTACCAACTCTGTATTACACACCAAGTTTGGTGAAGGTCTAGTCAAAGTTGAATTCTCTTGAAGTATTATTGCATTTCATTTTCCAATTATGCTCTACTGATTTTAAAGAAAATACTATATCCATTAATGGCCACACTCTGTTCTTTTGTAATTTCCAATGACTACAGGCCTTCTAAAATCTAAGGGGCCCAGTACAAATTACCCACTTGTGTCATTTGCTTTTATTACTACTTTGTGTTTTTGTTTTTATCACTTTAGCAGTTCTAGGGGTGTCTTCTTAGAAAATAATACATACTGAAATTTCCCCTAAAGTCTGAAAAGCAGTCACCAAAATATAGATATAAAGCCCTTTCATGTTCAATCGCATCTTTTCACCTCAACTGAATGCCAGAATCCATTCATGGATGCTAATGACTGGTCTTATTTTGCTTTAATCCTGTAAACATCTTCCACAGTTCCAGAAATACTCAGCCTGCTCTTACTATGTCTTCACAGGTGCCCAGAGCAGGGCAAATATTCTGTGAAGACCATTTGGATGAAGGAAGGGGCCTTGTTTGATAAAGAATCTTTCCACAGTGATAGTAAACTCTAACCCTAAAGTAATGGGAATGGTAACACGGCCTGGCCTATCACCACAGACAGTTTCATGTATGAGATTTGGGTTAGTGGAAATGCAGGCTTAGATATGTGTCATGGGAAGTAAAAGACACCATTTTTTCAAATCAATGTAGAAATCCTACATCTAAAAGAGGAGTAAGGAAAGTGGAGCTTTTGTACCCACTGGTTCTGGCTAGGGCAGAAGTGTCTTGGACAGTACTGTATGGGGCAGGTTTCACCGAGCAAAGCACATTAGACAATTTCTTTGAAACTCTTCCTGCTGTCGAGCTGATAATCAAAACTGACATGCACATGTTAAGATTTTGAGTTTATCACAGTACAGTGCGTATATTTCTCTAAAGAGCTTTCCCTTAATAAGTTTGGGAATGTGTAAAATGACGTAAAAACTTTGGATTAGTAGATTGGGAAAATGGAGATTTGCTTAGTGAGCCGATGAGTCACTTAAGCAGCTATAGTATGATTGAACAAATTCTGCCATTCATAGTCCTGATTTCTTAGCATCGGGGATGGAAACTTGGAGTCAGGGCTAGATGCTAATACTTATTTTAAATTAATTTCAGACTCTTTCAGTGACCACTATACTCACTTTGAAAGAGTTGTGAAGGCTCTTCTAATCAATGCCCTAGACGAATCTTTTCTGGGAACATTGTATGGTAAGTTAACAGTATAAATAGGACATTGTAAATTTTTTACTAATTTTTAAACAATCTCACTTTTAAAACTAGATTAAACAAAACTAAGGAGAACCATTCTTAAAGCTTGCTGATTGTTCTTTCTAGGATGAGCTATACCAAAAATACACTAATATAAAAAGCTTGTTAGTGTTTGCTATTTGTTATGTGTGACAGGTCCTTGCCTTTAAAGAAGTCACAGTGAATTTGAGGACATAATATAGCCTCTTAAAATAGAATGGTGCCTCAACACCTGTGTGCACTTTTCATGTTATACTGAAAATATATTTATGCTTTCCTCCCATGCCAGAGTGTAAGAAGAGTTCTACCTTTTATATGTGCTTTGCATCTAGCATAGAATCTGGCATTTTATAAGCTACAAATTGCTGTGTTGAATACCTATGTACCAAAATAAGATTTTATTCATAATTTATTGAACAAATACTGAGTGCCTATTATAAGTCAGGCATTATTTGAGGTCTGGTGATATTGATATGACAATGACTAAGACATACTAGATTCCTGCCCTCATGTTTCTTGAAGTCTAATTAAGAGACAGCAATAAATGAGTAAACAAATATGTAACAGCAAAGTATGACCTACACTAGTGCTCAGTTCTTGGAAAAAAGGATAAAATAGGTTAAGAAGGCAGAGAATGATAAAGGAAGCTAGAGTCTATTCCATATACATGTTGAATAGATTGGTCCAACACTGTTTCTCATAGCTAACTTAAGCAGAAGCCTGATGGAGTGCAGGAAGAAGTAAAGCATACATGTAGGAGCACAAGTGCCAAGGCCCCAGAAGGAAAAAGTCTTGATGCATTCAAGAGCAGCTAGATGGTCTGTGTAACTAGAGTGAAATGACTTGGGAGAGAAGGAAAAGAAGTAAGTTCAAAGGAGTAAGTAGGAGATAGAAAGGCTTTGTAAGCCAGGGTAAAGTGTTTGAATTGTAGTGATTTAAAGAAACATGACAAATTTATTAGCTAGATTCATTAAGAAAACTTCACGGAAGGCAGGAAAACAAAGTTAAACTTCACAGACTGTATTTCACATGGACAAAGTGATTGTTTTTATTATTGTCATTGATTCCCTGATAGATGGCACCAGGCAAAAATCATATGCACAAGATATGCTGACATCTCTTCATTATTTGGATAATCGCTTTGTTCAGCCTCGTCTGGAGAGTTTAGCTTCTAGAAGTCGCTGGAAAGAGCAGTATAAGGTATAGGTGTTTCTGAACCTCTTGTGGAGGGACCTCTTGGGACTTTGGTGTCCACTCAGGTGGGATGATCTTGTAAAGTCTTGGTATTCCTCTGTGTGAAATAATCAGCTTGTGATTTCTCATCTTTTCTAAAGGCTATTGCTGTTTTAACTGTCCACACTAATGTATTCGATAATTAAGTGGTTCTAAATGATAAATTACTTTAACACACAGTGTGAAAAGAAATCTGTCACTGTTACACTTAGCTACCATCCTGCTGGTGGAGGATGTGAGTGTGAATTAGTAACCATGCTACTCACATGCTCATACTGAAGTTCAAATGTTATGGTAAAGCCTAATCTAATAACTGAAAAATTGTGCCTCACACAGCCCCAGCCTAAGCTGTGGAAGTACCTCGACACAAGTAGCTTCACAGTTCACTAAAGCTGATTTATGCCAAGTGTTTTCTCAGATTGTCTGCTCACTGATAATTCAGCTGTTATACTGTCCATCCATACTGGACATGTTGAAATCCTAATCCACTGTGCTTATGTTCACAGAACTGTAGAAGTAACCGTGGAAGAATTAAATTGTTTCTGGAATATTTTGTGGAAATACAGTATAATTCATACAATGAAGAATGAATGTGATATTTTTCTCAATTTTTATCTAGCTTAAATGAAATAATATCTTTTTTGATCCTGGATTTTTCTGCTCTTTCTTCCCTAGTTTTGGTTAATACCTCATCAACACTAATTAGAGATGAGAATGTGAAGGAAAGAAATGGAAAGTTTTCAGAAACACCATTTAGGAGTGACTATAAGTACGAGAAAGAGAACCTAAGTTTTTTTTAGTCTGGTTTCTTTTCAGTTAACAGCCAAGATCAAAACTCCATTTTGTAAGTTTAAAAATGTAAAATGCTTACTATGCACTCAGTATTACTGTGAGCAATACCATGTGCTCCGTATGAGAGTAAGCAATACCAGTGTGTTTTACTCTTACAGTTCTTTCCACTGTGATTCCTAAGATCAGTTTTAATTTGGTTAGATTCTTATTTTAAACGTCATTTTTATTTTTAAATTGTTTTTAGGAACGGGTTGAAAATTATTCCAGTGTAAGTATCCACTGGAAGAATCCTGAAAACTGCTGCTGCCAGGCTTGTGGACTACATCGCCACTGCAGATATTCAGTGCACTTGTCAGGAAAGTTATACAATACCAGGACTATGGAGACAGATGATTTTATGTCACATGACAAACAGGTATTGTTTTCCTCTAATTTCGGTTTTCAGTATTTAGAAAATTTCTGTTCATAAGCTTGCACACATAACCCTAAGTGATTTTCACAAATAGAAGAAAAACACTATACAGGAAAAGAGTGCAAGGAAAAGCAGGCACAATTGTTATGAGGCAGTGTCTTATATATCTTATCCATTCTTAGTTCAGTGAGGCAATAAAATCGGGCGTGTACCCTGAGTGTGCACAGCACTCAAACTGTCAATAAGGGAAAGTACGAGATGAGGAGCTCACTGGAGCAGGGGAAGTGGAGAGCCTGACCCACTACAGCCTGCATGGCTGTTTGTGGGTAGCAACTGAAGATGGTCATTGGCCTGCCAAGAGAGAAGTCACAGAATGCCGTGTATCAGAAGCATGTCGTGTGGATGCTGTTGCTTTTGAGAGAATGATGGAGGAAACTGAAGAAACAGTAATCAGTATACGTGAGGAGGGGAGCACTGATGAAAGTGCAGGCACCACTTTATTTACTTTTCAGTCTTCATAAGAATGCTGCATTTATGCATGAGAGAGACCCAACATTGTCTCCAAATCCTCCCTCTTATTAAGATAGCGGAAATACTCCTACTAAATTCTTATAATATGACTCCTCAGTACTATTGAACAATAATTGACCAGATCCCTCAGAGCAATAAAGGCAGCAAGAATCTCTTAGAAAATTTATATAATGAATTCAGAATTAGTTTTTGATGTTTGGCAATTTACTGTAAAAACATGCTACTTTTCTCAACATAATATGTGAAAATTTATCCATTGTTAAAAGCTGATCTGTGACTTTTATGAGATAGACACCTAGAATCCCAGCAAAGCTGACTAAATACTTCATGGAACACGTTCTGTTGCGGGATCCAATGTGTTGCTTTACATGCAACCTTTGCTGTTCTCAATGGAGTCAGAAAACCATTTCTGGAGCTCTGACACTGCTGTGAAGGAAAATGAAGGTAATTGACTTAAATATCTAAAAAGTAAAATAGAGCCTATAAAATAAAAGCAAAGAATACTACTGCACTTAGTCATACAGTGGAAAACACAAAAGTTGGATATGTGGAAAATGTTTTCTCTGTTGTCAGATGTAGGGTCAGAGCTCCTAAAGTAGCAATGTACATTTTAATTCAAATAATAAAATGCAGTATTATCAAGTTTGCCTGGAAGCTGGTAGACTCACAGAAAGTAGGATTCCTAAAAGAAGAAAGGGTATTCTATATGTTTTAAAATTCTGGATGACTATATAGCTAGAGTCACAAAGCTATATATAGTCAGGACACAACTTTATCCTATGCAAAAACTTCAGTAAAAGCAAGTGGCATAATCATGAACTTCATTGAATCATTATTTATAACTATTTATATACAAGAACTTGGAAACAATCCAAATAAAATATTAGGCTTGTGATGTAATAGTCTATGATATATGCACATTATGTCACAGAATATAATATAACCATTAAAATAGTATTTATTATCCTTATTAATTGTTAATTAGGAGGATCACAATTCAAGGCCAGCAATGGGGGGGGGTATGTTAACAGACCTCCATCTCAGTCAATAAATCTAAACCAAGTGTGGTATTACACATCTATAGTCCCAGCTGTGTGGGAGTCCTAGGTCTCACATAGGAGGATCATGATCCCAGACCAGCTGGGGCATAAAAGTGAGACTGTACCTAAATCATAACCTAAAAGCAAAAAGGGCTGAAGGTATGGCTCAAGTGCTGCAAGGCCCTGAGTTCAAACCCCAATATAATAAATAAATAGTGTCAATGCTCATAAGGAAAGAAGAAAGAAAAAAATCTTTTTATAATCCAGCACATCTACCCTCACATCCATCCTCAAGTTATTTTGTGGTGCTGCTTGCAGTTACATAAAGTTGACGTGGGATTAACTAGGGTTCTTTTTGAGGTGCGATCAATATTTAAAAAGACTGCTTAGCAATGAATTTGTTCAGTGATTCTCACCTCACTTACAAGAGATGGGCTTCTTCAGAAGGAAGGATGCTTTGATGACAGAAGAGATGTGAGCCATGAGAGGCAGCTGAGAGGACTGAAAGCAGTCTTGAGTTGGTTTTGCTGCGACTCTGCCAGGGCCCCTTCAGAGGCTTAAGACCTGAGGGAAGAAGTGGAGATTCGGAGGCAATGTCAGTGCACAGTGTGGCCCTGCAAGGAAGCAGAGCCCTTCTCAGGCTGTTGTACTGTTTCTTCCCAGCCTTCCTCTTTGCTTAAAAATCCTTTTCTCTTTCTCTTTCATAGTTTGACCTCCACAGGTTGCTGGCCCCTCTGTATAGAAATAAGAGCTTAGAGAAGTACCTCAACAAGTTACCTACAGTGAGCTGGATGTCATCGAGACATCTAGTGCCTGCTCTTACTTAGCCAGGGTAATTTACACTTCTATGCAATGTATCTCATAAATTATAAATCACTTTTTCTACTGCTTTGCAATTTAACATCTTCTGCTTTAGGAAAATTTGGTGGCAGTGTTTAGCTGTTTCCCATTTTGGATATGTAGGATCACCCATTCACAACAATATCTGAAGTGGCTAAGTCCTCCTCAGTTCTCAGTTCTCAGTCTGGGCTGACCCTGCACAACGAGCTCTCATTTCAGCACTTATCCTCTATCTCTGGCAAGTTTTTGACACTCTCTCTCTTGCTTGAATAGTTTCCTTATTGTATGGAAATGCAGTCAGATACTTAAAAGTAGTCGCTGAATATATTTCTGGCTGTGTAAGGAAACTGTTCAAAGCATAGATTAGCTTTACCTACTTGATGGACACTACACCTGCTGTATGCAGCTTGTTTTCTATGAAACCTTATAATGGTAGGGTTCTTCTATATAAAATTAGGCTTTTCAATATAAACTGTAATACAACCTTTTTAAAAACATAGCATGAGAACATTCCAAAGGTAATGTGATGTTTATTGACCTTTGTATGGAGAAGTAGATACCAAAGGGACAGGAAGTAGAGATGGAAAAAAGTAATGTTTTCAAAGAATACTTTTGTTTCATGCAGGAAAAGAAGTTAAGGTAAGAATTTTCAAATACCTCTCCTTCCCTTTTTTCCAACTTAAAAATTCTACACAGATAGATTCCTTTTGTTTTGTGGAATTCTGAAATTCATCATATAGAACTGCGGATCACAATGCTGTTTGACAGCTTTTTTCAGAACAGCAGAAGAAGACCACCTTTGATGGCAGAAATGGAGACACAGAGGTCCCCTATAGCCACAGCAACTGTTGGGGTGTCCTTTACTTGCAGTGGGATGGATTGCTAGTTGAATTGTTGAAGTGGCATTTAATACCACAAGTGGTTTAATAACGTTGAAGTGAAAAAGCTTATTTAATAAACAAAGCGAAGTACAATAATGCCTTATTATTTCTGATGCTCTGAAAAGCAAGAAGGTTTTCACAGAAGCATGAAAAAAAAACTGAATGCATTTCTTCAACCTTTTGGGTTTTAGAAAAAATCGTGAGATGTCCAAAACATCATCTTCACATGTAAACAAACACATCGACTCTGCAGTTGCCAGTCCTCATGCAATTTTGGCAGCACATTCTGGGCTTAGCTATTGAACGTGAGCACCTGTATACTCACTTGCAGTGTGGCTTCAGAAAAAAGTACAGTTCTTTGTCAGATGGAGCATGAGATTCATAGATGATACTAAAAACTATACTATACCACTTATACTGAACTTGCAAAAGCACCACCCTTTGGTGGACGGCATAGACACAAATATGCCTACTAACAAGAACTTTCCTCCAGCTACCACATGACAGTATGGTTGCTAAAACTTCATGACGTTTGAAACACTTTCTAACGTATTTTCTACAAGAGAAATGTGTACATGAAATAGACAATTTGATCAGTGCAATGATGCCCTCTTTCTGTTTTAGCTGTAGGTTTGTATGGCCATTCAAAACATTCCGAAAGAGAAATGTTCTAGTTGATTGATTTCACAAGAAGAACTGTTTTAGTCGTAGAATCCTAGTCCATATAATCATAAAAATTAAAAATTCTCTAGCCAGCAAACAGTAAAATGTTAGTGTCTCATTCACATATGGCACATTAAGTTAGGCAACAAATATACCTAAACACAGTTATTTTTTTTACTTTGGGAAAAACTATTTAGTAACAAACTTACCAATACTTAATATTGGTGTAAGATATTTTTTCATTTTACATGTTGCTCATGGTTAGAGTATCATCATAACCCATGCATTTTTGCACAGTAAATATGGACATGCAAAGCTTTGCAGTTGTTCTCTTGCTTGCAAAAGATGGTGTTCATCTTTCTGCCTTACAAGCCATTTTTTGTCTTCCTTCCCAAACTTGGCCAACTCTGTGTTTTCAAGACTTAGGTCAACAATCACCCACCTGGTGGCCTTTCTCCTCTCTGGATTGGGTTAAATGCCCTTCATCACTAGGTCTAGATAACATGTTGTATATAGCATTTGTCATGTTGTGTGTTGATTTTTCTTTCTCCCAAGAGTGTAAGCCCCTAATATAGGTCTTTCACTGACCTATCTCCAGTACCTAGCCCAATACTTGAAGCATAGCGGGTGCTCAGTTTTTGTTGAGTGGTTGTTTAAGTAAGAGAAGATGAAGGAGCCAGTGAATAAACATTTAAAATAAAATTAAGAATGCATTCATTAGATTGTACCATTAAAGAAAACCTGAAAATTACTGCATTACACATTCATTTTGTAAGATAATGTTTATTTCTTGATTTAGGTGTTTACTGTTGGCAGAATTTGTGCTAATCGCACCAGAATTTATCATAAACTGAAACATTTTAAGTTCAAACTGTACCAAGAATGTTGCTCCATTGCAAAGACAGAAGAAGTTGAGGATGAACAGGTTAAAGAAACTGTAGAAAGAATTTTCAATAGGTCAAAAGAAAATGGCTGGATTAAAGAGGTAAGGCTGAGGCGCCTTCTCATTCTGCAACTCTGGAGCTATTTATTTGTGACAGCAGAGAGATACAAATGATGAGAGGACAGTGGCATTTCAAAGAGACTCTCCTCTTTCCCTGTTTTGTACTTTTTCTTCTTCCACTCATTCCTTCCATGCTTACCATTGTCCTGCCCCGAATAGATCCCTGGTCCAAAATTGTGCTCAGCTCCTCAGATACATTTCAATAAGTAATGATACTGTCCCTTACTGAAGGACCTCTGTGTTTTCGCTTTTACATGTATACTCCCTACATATATATGCCGCCTCCTGGTTGTCTTTGCCACAGTATAGGACTCACTCTGCTTGTCTGCTTCCTCTTCTTTAGAACAGTTCTTGGGACCTGAGAGGGAAGAAGCACCCGGTGCCACTGAGGACAGGATCTCGGCTGCCAGTTGTAAAGCCACCCACATCCTCTCCTCGAGGACACGGGCTGGCATGTGAGCAGTGAAGATCGGGAGTGCAGAGGTTCAGGCCACAGCACTGATTTGATTCCCCCATCTCCTGTTGATCACTAAATTTGATAACCAGGGATAAAGTGGGGGTTTTGAAGAGTGCACTGGATTCCCGAAGATCTGCCAGCAGCCTACATGCTCTGGTCTTCTCACAGAGCTTTTAGCATTGTTTGTGGCACATGAAAAAAGTGCTAAAATGTTTTCAGCTTTCTAAAACAACTCCAGGTATAAGGCTGTATGAGAACAAGTAGTAGATATCCAGGCAACTCATATCAGTAGTATACTTAATCAAAAGAAAACAAAAGGAAAAGGCCTCACTTGAGATCCATTGCCTGGGTTATGTCATAAGAAAATTTGTAAGAGGGGAGGCAAGAGAGCTGAGCAAATAAACATGAGCAGAGGGACAGAAAAAGAGAACAGCAGCACCATAACTTCTCAGGATGTGTCATGTTTGGTGGAGGTCTCCCTGAACAGGACATCCTGGTCCTTTAGACAATTATCCTCCCCTCAAACCACCACCCACTGGTCTTGCCTGTCCCTAACATCTCAGTCCTTTAGTCTTCTTTCTCTCATTTTACTCTGTTCAGCTTTTTCTTTTATCATTTATTTGCCTCTACTTCTCCTACCCCAAATGCTCCCTCTTCCCTGCTTTTCTGTTTGCCTCTGGGCAGAACCATCACATATCCAGTGACCCTGTCCTGTCTTCATTTTCCTAGAGATTAGATCTTAAGTGCTTTTATTGCTGCCTTTAAGGGATGACAGTCCTCTAGTGAAATTAGAAAACTTATTGGCATAGCATATTTATAAATATGTTCTTTTTCTGTGGTACTATGGATTGAACCCAGGGCCTTGTACATGTGAGGCTAGCTCTGTGCCACTGAGCTACACCCCCAGCCTGGTGTTCCACATTTATTAAGGATTTTGTACTAGGTGTAGAAAACTGACTGTGCATAATAATATATAATAATATTATGTGTGGGGAGCATTAAACTTCTTACAGAAAATCCAAAAGTATTTCTAAATTATGTACCTTAGAGAAAGCTTAATAAGGAATGGGCAATAGACAGGATCAGAAACCAGAAAACAAATTCTTAGGGGGAGAAAGCCAAATGTCATATTATGCACAAAGAATAAAACTTAACCTTAGACACTGAAGGCATTTCAAGATCATACACATTTTTTCACATAAAAATAACAAAGAGCTTCATTTTCTTTTTGAGATTCCCCTCACTTAAAAAATATTTATCCATACACTTTCTCAAAAGATTTCCTAGACACCAGGAAATTTTCATTCAGTATATACCCACATCAGTTTTTTGTGTTGTGATGAAATTTCAGCATTTATCAAGTGCTCTGACATGTCCCTCTGTGTGTGAGCCTCTGAGTGACAGCACTGCATGTGTTTTGTGATGCATGCCTTTGGCCACAGTGACTGTCACCTTTTGGAATGCCTGGGCGCTGTGCTTCTTGAATACCCATCTCAGCAGCTCTTTTTTGCTCTCACCTCCCAATTATGTCAGAGAAGGCTCTGCTTACACAAACTGTGTTTTCCCTGCTCCCAGAATGTGTTTCACACAGCTTTTTCCTTTATCTGTCCCCTTTAAGCCTTTTTCTTTGGTCATCTCAGGATACCTCAGTGTATCTTTCCAGAGACCTGCCACCTGGACTTCATTCTTTTTCTTCCTCCTACCCATAAAAATAGGATTGCCTATTTTTAATCTGGTGATATTAAAGAGGTATTGAAGTAAGTTGAGTATAAGAAGAGAAAAGTGATAGGGAAATTGTAATAAAGCCAGAATATATAATAGATACAATAATATATCTCATTCTAAAATACTCCAATACATCTTTGGAAAAACTCTTCAGATGTCTTTTCATTGAGAAGAACGTTTCTTTGAAGATGGGTTTCTTGGCAGTTGAAGATGGGGTTGTTGCCCTAGTCCTACCAAAAAAAAAAAAGATGGGATTATTGAATGGGTTGATGGATACATGAGCAGGAAAGCAAAGAACGTGTTCACAGAAGCATTGAATGTCAGTTCTACAGTTGTATTCCAAGTAAATTTTCAACATACTGCTATGGAAATAAGAACTTTAAATTATAATTAGATACCCTGCCCTTTCCTAAGTCTCCTCATTTCTTCTCTTCTCTCCCCCTTTTAGCTTTTCCTCTTTTCCTGTTTTTCCACCCCTTAAATTAATGTTTCTCAAAGCATTGCCTTTAACTAGAATCACCTAGAAGCTTGTGAAAAAATATATAACTCCTGGCCTCACCCTAAACTGACTGAGAATCCTTGAGGGTGTTAAACATTCAATATTGTAAAGATTGAGTAGTTTGTCTATAAATTAAAAATGAAGGACCAGTGCTTAAAAGACCTGTTGCTCTGAGTTCTGTTCTCTGCCTCTCAAACTTCCTGTGGCAGACCCATTCCTTTCTGTGGGTTCCTCTGCGACTTGTGAGTGGAGAACTCCCAGCTCCTTTTATGTTGACTGCTTTCCCGCATTCCATTCACAATTCCCAGCTGTCATTGGTAGGTTCATCATTACTAAAGGAAGACCCAGGCTCTCCAAATGTGAGTGAGGAAGAACAATGGGAGCTGCATTCTTAGGTGGAAAAGATGGCAGAGAACTGCTGACTGCCTTTTCTCTGTTTCACTTTCCCTTTTGTGTTTTTTTTATTTTTTCACCAAAGCTGTCACCCCACCCTGTAAAATTTAGAAACAGCATGCAGCAGTGGCTAAAAGCATGGAGTTAAGTGTTTGTGCTGCCATTTTCTAGCAGTAGAGTTTGGAGGCAAGTAACATTATTTCCTTAAGACTGAGTTTTCTTGTCTGTGAAATAAGTAATCATAATTAGAAAATTCCTGTTGTGGAGATTAAATGAGTAACAAGTCTCGAACATCTAGGATAGGACCTAGGATTAGGAAGTGACCATTTGATGTTAGCTTCTGTTCATAATAAAAGCAAGGAGAGATTTTACCTCCTTTCTTTAGGATAACTGAAATAGATTTTAATTTTCCAAAGCAAATTTAATAATTGAGAAAAATAATATAAAGAGACTATAAACAGCATAAAAAAAAGCCTTTTAAAGTATTGGTTTATAGTCCTAAAGTAGTTCTACTTAGTCCTTATAAAACCTACCTGAGCACTAGGCCAAGAAAACCCCTAAGTAGATTGTAGGCTATTTCCCCTCTTAGTCTTTTGTTCCTTCTTGAGAAGGTGTTGGAACCAGAGACTTGAGAGCATAGAAAGGGGTTTTATGACCTTGTCTAGAAGGAAATGCACTCCTCACATTCCTTTCTCTATATCCCCACCACAAAAGTCGATTGAAATCTGCCCTGACTTCATTGGAGGTGGAGCCCAGAATTCACAGAGTCTAGAAGCCATTAGATCATTTAATCTCCTCTACTGAAAGAAGCACTTTGAGTTCTGTATGTCCAAAACTAAATGCATGTATCTTTTTTGCTCCTCAGTCTACCTGTGAGGTAGCCCTGCTGTTACTCACCTCTTCTCTCTCCTTGAAGGCTCTAAATTACTCTTAACTCCTCTCCTTACCTCTCATGCCAGTTCTTTATCCTCCATCTTCAGATCACCATTCCCTTGACTGTCAAGTTACTACTCAACTCCTTAACCTAGCATTTCAGACTCTTTGTTCTCTATACTCAATCTTAGCCCTCCCTGTTCCTCTAAAAAAATCTTCAGCTTATTGTCAAATCCCATACGTCCTTCTCTCATCACTATTGGATGAACTGTTGTGTTTGCAGAAACCTTTAGCCACTGATCTTTTTGTCTACCAAATCTTTTTGTCCAGTACAGCTTACATGCCACTCTTCCCTGGTCACCTTAACTAAGCATGGCTCTTCTTCTGAACCTTCGTAACAGTGTCTATGCTTCTTTATGGCATTTATTCCTGGTTGTCATTGGTGTAGTATTACTGAATTCTGTTCCCTTGGGAACAGGGAAAGTATCACTTTAAAATTCTGTACCTAGACAGTCATTAGAGGAGTATTTGACGTACGTGTTCTACCGATTTTTTGAGCACATTATTAAAGTTATTGCATAAATAGAAAAGTTATAATTTATAAGATAATTATAAAATTAATAATACTATTGTTTAACTTCTTTCCAGTGCTTTCTGTGACTTAGAGATGCTTATTTGAAATTGAGTTCCTATTTCTAATGATTTTTGTTCATAATTACCGTGACATGAACTTGTTCTTATTTGTCTGTAGTTTGGTAAGGTCTAACTTATCTTCATTGTTTTGAGTAAAATAACTAGCTTTTTTATTATATATGCAGAAATATGGTCAACTTCAAGAATATCTCAATTTTGCGGATTACTTTCAAGATGAGAAGTTTGACTGAATTGTAACACATTTCCTTCTGAGAAGATTTTATAAATCCTGTAAATGTGAAGATCATGAGTCTTGTTTCTCTGTATCATGTGACATAGCTATATGTTTTATGTGTCTGTTCATGGAAAGCAACCTTGTTGAAGACACGTTCATCTAAATTCCCATGAGATAGCACTCTACTGTCTAATAAAACTTTTCATCTGATGTACATAGAGCGTACGTTTTATAATTTTTAAGTCCATAATGTATTTTAAAATTGTGTAACAATGCCTTCACAACAGATGACTATCAAATGAACAAGCTGCTCATGCCCTATCAGATTAGTAGAAAATACTGTATTTAAAATATATTTAGACTAACATCTCTCTGTATTTATTGCTGAATTCCTGTCCAGGCCTGTTTATTACTTTTTCCAGTATTAAATACTCTTCACTAATTTATTTGACTCTGTCATTTAAATCAGCAAGCCACAGAAGAAACCTCAGTGTGTTATTTGGTTCAGTCTCCTAGCCTCAGCATCAGACCACAGCTGAGCCATTCCACGTAGACAAGAGCTTTCTTTTTTTCCTCAAACTTCCCTCACAGATAGATTTCAGGTCTGCAGAGTTTTTCACCCCTCACATTCAAGAAAAACTTCACAATAAGTATTTCCATGCTTGTAATGTTGCTTTTGATTTTGTCTAGATGTTAATAATTGATACATATTTTATTATTTTTTATCCATAACTTCCTCACATAATTATATATGTTAGAATCTGAAGATCTTAAGGAGACAAGTTCAGCCAAAAACAGTTTAAAAGCATATTTTGATATATATATTACTTTGTACACCTAAATTTTCCCATAATAAAACAGTTGTGGAGTGAACAATTGGACTCTGTTCTGTATCTTAAAATTCTTGAAAGAAGCATTCTAGTCAGATGGGTTCTTCTGTGGAATTTTTTTTCTTACTGGAAGTGTTGACTGAACTTGGCTTCATGTATTTTGTGATCCCTGGCATGGATCTCAGTGTATGTAATATATATATATAAAGCTATGTTTTGTTAGGTCCTTACATGGAAAGTAGATAATATTTCCTATAATTTATTTCCTGTAGTCTCCTTATTATTATTTTAAACAAACTGAGTTAGGTGCCAGTGTCTAATGGGAGGGGACATACTTTTTCAAAGTGGGAAGCAGGTATTTCAGTCACATACCTATTCTATGCATATTTCTCTGGCACATGGAGAGATATACTTACCTCAATTTCCAGGAATAAAAGTGAAGCCATAGTTGAAAGGTGAAGATTAAGGGACTGTCTCCAAAAAGAAGTCAGGCAGAGTTTGAGGAGAACGGATGAACAGTCAAACTGGGAGGGAGAAGGGCCCTGAACAGGAAGGGCCAAGGAGAACCAAGTGAGGGTGCTGACCCTGCAAGCCTCCCTCCTCTCACAGACAAACCCGAGTTCACTGAAGACAGCGAGAGGTACCAGCTTTAGATTGTACTATTTTAATAGCATACAGTCAATTTGTAAACTCAAGGTTCTAACAAGGTCTGGGGTTCATGATGCAGTTGCTGTAGTTACTTGGGTCAGGTACTTTGTTGGCTTGAGCACTTTTCCAGATAGAACAGAAACTGGTGATCACACTGCTAGCAGGTAGATTTAATGCCAGGATCAGATGTAGGCATTTTGTTTTATTTTGTTTTTGTTTTTGTTTTTCAGTATTGCGAATTAAATCCAGAGCCTCGCACATGCTAGGCAAGTGTTCTGCCACTTGAGCCATGCCCCCAGCCTTTTTGGTTTTTGTTTTTTTTTTTTTAATTCTGTTTTTGAGATAGGGTCTTCTTTGCCAGGGCTGGCCTTGAATTCACAATCTTCCTGCCTCTGTCTCCTGAATAGCTGGCAAAATTTGAAACCTTCTTGAGTACTGACATGATAGATTTTGGAGCATTTTGGATTTTTGGATTAAGGATGTCCAGCTAGTGAAGTCTATACAAATACTACAAAAACTTTAAAATCTGAATCACTTCAAATTCCAACCATTCTGGATGAGAGATATTCAACCTCTGTTCTGTCAGAGTAGAATTGTCCCCATTCCCAAGCTAACGTTCCAGGATTTGTGAAAGTAAAATGTTTGGACTGAAGTAGTCTGGCCTGTGGGGAACTAAACTGTGATTAGGTCCGGTATTGAAACATGACGTTCCTCTTGCCCATTTCTATCCATAGCACATTTTAAATCAGGATCACGTTACTGAAATCCTCCAGTTGGCTTAAGTTAATGAAGCTCCATTGCTAAAGACCTCAAATCCAAATGACTTCCAGTTAGGACACCCTGATTGTTTTTGGTCCTGACTTCCAACATTGTGTTCACCTTAGTTTATTCTCCATAATTGATAATGACAGTCGGAATTGTCCAAAATTGACATTGGACATTTTACAGACAGGATCATCTGAAGAAGAGGGCTCAGTGTTTGTTGTAAGAGATCTATTTGATTTGTGTTTTTAAACTTCTTATTACATATTAAACCAAACAGCAATTGATAACACACTTTGCATTTGGTTTGCTATAGGCAATTGAATTTTCAAAGAAAAACCTTTTTTTCCCTAGAACTGGTATTGGTAATATCATCCTCATAAAATGTTTTATCTCTACTGATTTGCTCATGATCACCCAGACTGACTTTTCCAGAGACACACAGACAGGCAGATAGGCAAGTACCCATCTTCGTGCCCTTCAGAAGACAGCAATTGGTATCCCCTCTCCACACCTCCCAAACACTTCTTCACTGACTTCCTCACTACATTAACAAGCACTTCCTCAGTGCCCACTGGGCTCTAGCTAGGGTGCTCAGCCAGGTCATTTACAACATATTGAAAAATGCAAATTATATCCTTGGAGGTGCATAATGGAGGTCTAAAAGGGAAAATACATTCCCTCGCTGGGAATTTCTTAGACATTTAGAGCTGGCGAAATGGTTTTGGGTAGAGGTTGGGAATTTCCCCTGTCTTCCCCATTAACGGAGACCAGGCTGAGCTGAGTGGAGGTGGCTGATATGCACAGGCTTTGGGATTCACCTCTTTGGCCGCTGGGAGGCCCTCTGCCTTCCCCTTTCCCCGGGCTTGGCTGATTACTCACAGGAGCAGTGGCACCAGCCTTCCACCAGGGAGCCTTGAGCAGTCTCCCCCCCTACAACCCCCCCATCTGCAGCTTGCTCTCTCTCTCTCTCTCTCTCTCTCTCTCTCTCTCTCTCTCTCTCTCTCTCTCTCCTCTCTCTCTCTCCCCTATCGGAGCACAATGAAAGCCTGTGTATCGCTGTGACTCCGGGCGGGAGCCAGTGTCAGCCAAGCGGCTAACAACAGACGAAAAAGAGAAAGGAAAATGCAAGCTACTTTTTTTTTCTTTTTCATCTATAAAGCGGAGCAATACGAGAGATAGAGCCACATTGCTTATTGCCAGTCCAGACCCTCAGAGCCACTGCCGGGGACGGAATGTTCAAAAGTGGACAGAAAAGTGGCTGGACATGACTCCGTGCACTTGGCTGCAAGTTTGTAAGTTTGACCATCGTTTGTAAATTTACTCTCGGAAGAGTTTGTCTCTCTTGATACTGTGCTAGAATAGAGCCGGGGGTGACAAATAGAATCGTAAGCGGGAAAGAGAAAAATGTGTTGAAGCTGGCTGTCGGTGGCTTGCCTCTTCAGATTGCTTTCATTTAGCCTGGGAAACCTTAGAGGGAATGAGCAGTTCTACCGGTGATTGAATTAGCTGAAGAAAAAAGCATGGTGCCAAAGTCCAATTACTGACATTGCTAACGATTGAGAAGCTGTCTCCTTTTAGGAGAAGGACCACATCCTACAGTGCCCCACGGAGGAGAAAACACCGGCGCACAGGGGTAGGGAGGAAAATCAAAAGCCAGAAGACAGTTTCCCCTGATTTTGCACGTTTTGAACATTGACTCCAAAACCGTTCTGAAACAGCACAGTTCTGTTTGGGTTTGATTTTAACCTGAGAAAAAGTAAAGGCTACTGGTTACAAAGACCACAGTAGAAATGCGTTTCTCTGCAGAAGCGTCCCCAAAAAGAATTTTCTGAAACAACGAGGTGAGGCGAGGGGAGTCCAGCTCTTTCTTAATGCCTCTGTCAGTCCCCTTTGCTATGTTTGTCTCTTGCTTGACAATCCTTGGATTCTTGAACTAAACCCCAGATCCTGTGTTTACGAAGTAGCCAGTGGCTCCTGTCAGCTTGGTAGGGGGAAAGAAACCCACCTCCTCTGCCCAACTTCTCCAGAGCTGTCAAAAGCAATTAGAGTAAGTTGACGGGGGTCCCTTTCCAACTCACCCTCTCCAACTGCTTCTATTCTTCCTCCCACCCTCTCTTTACTAACTCCCCTCCCCCACACCTTCTCCCCTGCTCCCCCGACCTCTGAGGAACTCTATTCATGTGGACCTGAACACTGAGCTCACATTGTCAAAACAGATTTGCCTGCAATAGCCAGCAGCAGCCCCTTTGCCCTCACTGCCCCAGAGGCAGCAATCATTGTGTTCAGTAAGATGGGGGACACAGCGCCCCCGCAGGCCCCCGCAGGAGGGCTGGGGGGGGCCTCTGGGGCGGGGCTCCTTGGAGGGGGCTCAGTCACCCCGAGAGTGCACAGTGCTATCGTGGAGCGCCTGCGGGCTCGGATCGCCGTCTGCCGCCAGCATCACCTGAGCTGTGAAGGACGCTATGAACGCGGCAGGGCCGAGAGCTCAGACCGGGAAAGGGAGAGCACCTTGCAGCTCCTGAGCCTGGTGCAGCATGGCCAGGGGGCGAGGAAGGCTGGCAAGCATACCAAGGCCGCCACCTCGGCTGCCCCCGCCACGGCCCCTGCACCCCCTGCGGCCCCTCCCACAGCCTCCCCAGCAGCAGCAGCACCAGCCCCGCTGCCCCCACCAGACTACCACCACCACCACCAGTCGCGCCTCCTGAGCAGCAGCAATGATGGTAGCGGTGGTGGCATAAACGGAGATCAGCAGCCACCAGCTTCAACCTCGGGGGACCAGAGGAACTCAGCCCTGATTGCGGTAAGACACCTGGTTTTCTGGTGATTCTGGCTGTGGTCCTGCGGCCTTTTGTGAAGGTAGAGGCTGTGTGGCCTAACGTCAGAGAGATTGCAGTGAGAAAGGTCAACCTGTCACTGGAGACCTCAAAGAGCTTGGGTGTGCTGTTAGTGTGCCCCTGCCTGGGTTCTCCTCCACGCGGAGGATATTCCTCACTGATGAGAAGCCCAACTTCTCCAGAGGCTCTTGGGTTAAGCAGTTTCTAAAAGAAGAGTCAATAGCTGAAGAAAGCTGTCTCAAGGACCCTCCTGCTTTGGCTAGCTGGCTCTGATTAGGCCCAAAGAGGCGTCCTTCAGCCTGGCAGCATTTATTAGCTCAGCTGGCCTTCATGGACTCCTTCTCCCCCTTGCCCTGTTCCCCTCTCCCCCTTCTCGCAGGGTTAAGAGAACATAAATGGCATTGTGTAGCATGAAAACAAATCCCCTGAGTCTCCCCCTCTGTCAAAAGTATTGGGGAAATATCCTA